CTAAGAACTCAGTGCCCAAATGTGCTGGCCCTTCTCATACCCTTAGGAAAATAAGACATTCACATTCAGCAACAAGGCCTTGGGCAATCGCTTCAATTTGCTTTTGCAATGAGCAGGCACTGGGTACAGAGTTTGCATTCATTGCAGTGGTGTGAACTTCACAGTTGGTTTGCATTTCATGTCGCCCAAAGATTAAGTATAGTTGTAACTTTTTTTTTACCACTAGAATTTTCTAGTGAGGCTGGCATCATGCACTCTCATTGGTGCTTCACAAGAATCGATGACAAACGTGCTACAGCAGGAGTCAGCAAAGTTACTCAATAAAGGACTAGGCAGGGGAGCAGCTGAGCCTCTGTGGGGTTTGTGACCTCTTGCCATTGTGCCATAGAAAAGTGACCACAATGGGCAGGGCTGTGTTCCAATGTCATTTTAAAAAATGAACACTGAAAGGTGGCGTTCATGTAGTGTTCACATATCAGAAAATAATATTCTGTTTTGAATATTTTTTGAGCCATTAAAAGAAACGAAAGGTCATTCTTGGCTCATGGGATGGAAAACAGAAAGAGTACCAGACGTGGTCTGTGCGCCTGGGTTGATTGACCCCTGTGTTCCATGCACCCTGCCTTCCCAAATACCAAAGGCAATGCCATCCAGTGTACAAAGTGTCCCCAGGGTTGCTCTGTTGCCTACAGTGTATTTGAGGGGCTGGGGTGCTGTCTAGATAAGAAAGTAGCCCAATAGGCCCAGAAAGAAGCACAATAGCACAGCTGGTAGTCTTAATAACTGAGTCTGAAAGGCTTCTAAGGCAGAGAGGGTTGATGAAAATTGGGGAAAGCAGCATAGAAGAGATTTGAGATTTGACACACTTAGAATGTTTGGATTTTGCACTCTGGACACAAGACCCAACATGATCCACTGCCATCAACCACGACACACTGCATGGAGTCCATCCCCGCTCACAGAGACCCTGTAGGATAGAGGAGAACTGGTCCCTAGGGCTTTGCAGGCTGTAGATATTTGCAGAAGTGGACTGCCACCTTGTTCTTCCTGGGAGTAGCAAGTGGGTTTGAACCACCAATCTTTCAGTTAGCTGTCAAGCACTTAACCACTGTGCCACCAGGCTCTCAGGATGATCCCAAGTCTAGTTAGTGTACTTCTGGATCTCCCGTGCTCAGAACAGAACCTGGCACTTTGTGTGCTCTTGGTGGTTATGATTGGTCAAATGTGTTGAAAATGTTTTAGGGCACAGACAACGGTCTATTCCTGTAGGAGAGATGATGGTGTTGCACTAAACATGTCTGTAAATATCGGGACCAAAGGTTTAGGATTTACCCTTTGCATAGTGGGGGATTTTTGACCGGGAGTTAATGATCATATTATATTTGCGCAAGTTGAATCTGCCAACAGCCTGCAGGACTTCACTTGACCTAAACCCAGCCTAGCTTTTAAGTACCAGTCTCACTTTCTGATAGTAATCTCACTTCCAAATTCTGATTTGAACTTGAGCCACCAAAGAAGAGAAAGTGTTTTTTGTGGACACGTGCCTCTACGCAGCCACCGGCTCCATACCAGGTGGTCTTAGGTTAGGAGTGGGCCACAAGACTCAGGAGACCCAGAATGTTCCCATTTACTTCCTCAGGGCATGAAACAAACAATGCAGCCCTGAGACAGAGCCTCCCCTCCCTCTACCCTCTACTCTACAAGGCATGCTTAGCAGCAACAGATGCACTTGATGTTGGCAAGTTCATCTGCTACCTCCAAGAGGCAGGAAAGCTACCACCTCTATTCTTTACCCGTCCTTTTACAGCATGTCTGCCAAGTGACTGGCTGGAGCAGGCACCAAGCGACAGCCTTTCCAGTGTGGCTGTGACTCACCAACCACGTTTGCACAGCAAGCAATTCTGATAACCAAATCCAATGCCGCCCATGAACCCTGTGCTTTAACGTAATGTCTATTCCAGACAGCAGTGGTGCATGGGATAGAGGCAGCATCCCTTACCCAGGTGCCCTGAGTCTAGGCTAACACTGCCAAGTCTAGGCTAACACTACCCTCAGCTTTAGCCCTCTAGATATTTTTTTTTTTAATCTCTAAAGCATAAACCTTCTCTCTTTGCCTTTGGGACAAATGACTAGTAATTGCATGGAGTCGGAGTGGACATCAGGCTTTTCTAAGCTTGAGAAGTTGTGTTTTTCATTCCCAGCAATAGAGCAAAGGATCTGGAATAATTTCTGATGCCTCCTGAAATGTCCTTATAGATTCCTCAGGACTTGGTTTAAAAACCATATTGAGATGCAGTAAGACAAACAGCTGTAGAATGCTTATGGATCATCTACCACCTTAGGTCATTTACACTCGACTTCCTCCAAGTATCTTAACATTAGAGGTAAACTAAAGGTGAGGACCTTCATTCTCACCCCCTCCCCACCCCACCCCATTCTGCTTCCCTGGGGATTACGCTTTAAAATCTCGCTTCTCCTTGGTCCTTTTCAGCTGCTCACAGGTAGTCCTAGATAGGGCATGCACTTCGTTGTCAAGTGCCGTATCCAAGATCCTTCATAAAAGTGGTAGGGCTCCCAAGTCATGGTTTCAAACACACCCATTTGAAATGTCCACACCTGGTTTGTGGAAAGGTAAGGGTGACAGTTATCACTCAAAATCCACTTACAGGGTCCCTGTGTGGATTGAGTCCCTGATGAAGCCCCAATGCACATAGGCTAGGAACTTGCCCACCCTAGTTTCAGACAAAATGCACGGTGAAGGGGATACTTAGACTGCAATGTAACACCTTGTCACTTGATCTTCCCTCTGGACCCAATGTAAATTCATTCTACATTTTTAATAACTTGGATGGAAGTCTTTCTCTGTTTTATATGGTCCTTGCTGCTGGGTCCTTGGTTGTTATTTGCCTGGGGTTTCCATGTTTTCCAATTAAGGAAAACCGGGATGGGTGGAATTACCATGACAGTAGCTGGTTGGATGATTGCCTGGGGGTGTGGGGGGCAGGGCACATAAGGGGGGAGGTGAGGGAATTGGAGAGTTCACATTAATGGGTACCAGGAAGAAGACAAGGTTCCAAAGTTGATTGTGGTGGCGATTGCACACCCCTTCTTGATATGACTGAGCTGTTGAATTGTATATGTTCATTATAGCTCAAGAAAATGACAAAAAATAGAATAAAATGTCCCTCCAATGCTCTCCATACTGTCTTTCTTCTCACTGCCCTTGTTCCACGTGAGTGATGTCATTTACTCTCATGGTTCCAATTCACATCAATATTGATGCTACTGCACCCCACTTCTGTAGTCCTGCCTCTGCACCTGAGCTTCACATCCACTCCTCCACCCGCCTTTTGGTCCTTGGATGTCCCACTGGAGTCGAACCTGCTCAGGACAGATCTCACCACGTCCGCTCCACAACGTTCAGTCTCTATGTTCTCTGGTCAGTTGACTGGCTTCACCAACAGAAATGGGAGCATTAGTCTTCCCCACATTCAACTCTGTTCCCCCTTGTTCCTACTTCCAGGTTAACTCTTACATTTATAAACTAAGACTAGCTCTTATGTCTCAGCATATCTAAAGCTACAATAAGTTTTTCTCCCTGATGACCCTTAAATTCACTGTCCTTCAATCATCCTCAGGTGATCCTGCAGATCCCTCGATCATCCTCGGATGACCACAACTGTTCTTTAGATGTATTCCAGATAGGACCACGATTGCATGCCTTGAATAGAAGATAACATACAATCATCTGCAATATACTTGTATTAGAAAACACTCCGTTTGTAGTTAAGAGCTGCCACACAACACCAGTGTCTTCAGGTTGTGCAAGTGTCCACCCAGTCCAGGCTGCAGTAGTGCTTCGTAATAGTTGGACGAAAGAAACTGGGAGAATGAATGATGGCATCGTGTCACTAACCACGTGGATTTGACAGGCAAACTGGCGTTGGAACTTGCGCCAAAGAAGGCAGCACATGTGCATTCAGTCTGTGAGCAGGATAGCCATTGACATGCAGACAAATATGCGAGTTTGCTGTCAGTAAGAATGCTTCCATGTTCAGTCATCATTGGATCAGTCTCACTTTATCATTGAGTGAACAAGAATTAGAATATTGACATTCAAGAAGGGCCTAAATACAGAGTTTGGGAGATAGAAAGATGATAGATGATACATAGATGGATGATTGATTGATAGATAGATAGATAGATAGATAGATAGATAGATAGATAGATAGATAGATAAATGGATGGAAGGATAGATAGATAGATAAATGGATGGATGGATGGATAGATAGATAGATAGATAGATAGATAGATAGATAGATAGACAGACAGACAGATAGCAGTGAGTCTGGATTGATATAATTGCAGACTCACTGCAGTTAAATTTATTCCTTTTCATCTGTCTCCTGGGGAGCAGCTGGTAGTTTCAAACTGCCGGCCTCTCAGTTAGCAGCCCAGCTTGTTACCACAATGCCACTAGGACTCTTTTTGTTGGGTAGGGAGAAGATCTGGTTATTCTGAACTGGAAAGTGGAGTCTTGGCGGTATTGGTTCTATTTTGCCCAACATAGTTACATGAGTGGGTAGTCTCTGCACTGCTATTGAAGCCAAACTGCAGAGGAAGATGCACTTTGGGGAGCAGCCTTCATCCTGTTCTCCTTCACTCCAACGTGAGCGACTACTTTATCTCAGGAAAACGTCCATCACCACATCAAATTTCTGTTGTTCATCAAAATTCTGGATTCACGTTTTTTTGATGAATTAATGCTACCAGCCCAAATAGCTTATAACCAGTTACCAAATTCAATGTAAAGGAGATATGGACATGGATACTGAGAATCCACAAGAATGGCTTGTCCTTTAGAAAGGTCTTGTGCCTTGTTTAAGAAACGGTTCTAATTGTAGCAGAGAACACTGTCTGTTATATTCATGTGATTGCATATATGTGATTGCATTCTTACGACTCAAAATAATCTATGCTTTCTTTTTCTCCCCCCTCAGAACAAATGCCAAGCGTTCGCGTTCGACCTGGTCACCAGCCAGGTCTTTGACATCCTCATCATCAGTCTCATTGCCCTCAACATGGTTAGCATGATGGCCGAAACAGCTGACCAAAGTGAAGACATGACAAAAATCCTTGAGAATCTCAACCTGGCCTTTGTGGTTATCTTTACAGTAGAGTGTCTCATCAAAGTCTTTGCTCTGAGGCAGTACTACTTCACCAATGGCTGGAATTTATTTGATTGTGTGGTCGTGGTTCTTTCTATTGTTAGTAAGTACAGTTGGCAGACAGAGGGTCTTCAAACCGATAGCTAGAAGTAAACTTGTCAATCGCCCCAAGTCGTCTAGATTATGCACGTCCATAGAATCCCCCAAGCCGCGTATTTGCACTTGGCGCAGGAGACGGTTCTAGAAGGCAATGTGAAATGATAGGCAGATCGCATTCACGAATGAGAAGTGGCCAAGAGATGCAGTGTAATTTCTGTGCCTGCCTGCACAATTGACATAGTTAAATCATTATGTGGACCGTCCAGTCAATGGAGATAGAAAAGAAAAATTTAAGATGACTTAAAAGTTTGGTTGTTTTTTTGGGGGGGGGCGGGGGGGGTGACCCAATTTGCCCAAGTAATTGAGGCCATTTCACTTTTCTGGTGCCACTGTAAACCCTAAGGAACATTTTCTATAGTTTTGAGAGGTTTGGCCTTTCTTGCCCCGTGCCGTTTCCAGTTGTCCCCTGACACCGTTGGTGCCTTCCCTCACCTCCTGCCCAGAGTCCCGGAGCCCACCCTGGATTGGGCTTCTTAGGCTTACGGACAAATGGGCCTCCTCTTTTCTCCATACTGCAAGTTAACTTAACCCATAGTGTGAACTATGTTTGCCTCAACGTCTTTGACCCCTTCATCAACAGTGGCACGGTGTGCTCAGTGCATTTTCCTGACCAGAGTCAGGAATAACTATGAAATGTATGGAAGAACTGGGGCAGGGAAAGAGATTTCCTTACAGGATCCACTGACACACCGATCGAGTTTGAATATTAATTTCTACATGGCTCACCCAGGCTTCCTTTGGGTTTCTGAAGTCTGGTTTCAATGAAACCATTAATGCACTTTGGTAATTGTGTAAAACGGCCCAGGACTCCTTCTCAAAGTGCAAAGGAACAATGGAAACTAATAGGACAAGTGGATGCTCTAGCGAACCCTCAGAAAGGAAGGATGCTTAAACAGTGATGTTGGATTAAAATATTTTGACTTCTGTTGCTAGCCACAATGAAGATATTTCAGAGAGCAAGAACATGGTGCCACTGGTATTCTGTTCTGGTTTCTCAGCTATCACATTTACATAGATAACGTTTAGTCATCGATGCTTCCGTGTGCTTAGAGTTAAGTCGAATTTCAACCCTGACTAGCCAATGCCAATCACAAATTCTGGTGAAAGTGAGAGTGGCAATCCAATGTAGAAAGTGCTAGTCAGATGAGTCTGGGGCAAGATTCTCAGAGAGCTCAAAGAGCCCCTTCCTCCTTCATCCAGAGAGTAGCCCATTCATTTCACTACTGAGCCCATTCCAGCTGACAGATCAGTAGCATCTCTTTTGTGAACACCTGCTAGGTAATTAGAGTTATACATGCTGTGTAGCATTTTTCTCCCATGGATGAGAACAACCACACATTGAGGCAAGTCCTACTCACCAGTAGATCTCTTATCTAATACGTACTCTTGGTGTTTCTCTGAGCTCTATCCTGAGAAATAGAGAATGAGTGTAGGTCCAAGTTAGTATCTCCCTAGGAGTTAGGAATCCAGTTCAGACTTATTGGTCAGCCCATGTGTCAGAGTAGAACTGTGTCCCGTAGAATTTTAGTGGTTGATTCTCAGAAGTAAATCACCGGGTCTCTCAATGGAAGAGTCTCTGGTGAGACTCAAGCTTTCAACCTCGCAGGTAGCAACCAAGGGTGCTCATCATCTGTGCCACCCTGGCACGCCTTAGTGACTTTACAGTTAGAAAAAAAGAAGGAAATTGAATGCCAAATCACATGTTACACAGCAAAGGTGAGTTCAGAGAAAGGACAGACTACTATGGATAGAATTAGTGAAAGACATATTGATGGAGGAATTGGGACTTAAAGGACAGACCTCCAGCAGTTCTTGCCAAATCACCCCCTTAATAAATTCCACATCTTATTAGGGTTGGCTGCCTAGTCAACTGGTGAGTTAAACCTCGTTGGTACCCTTGAACAGGCCATGGAAGATGTCACCAGCTAGTTCTCTTTAGTCATTAGGTGATGGCAGATACACTTTGGCTGCCCACACTGTAATGACCCCAATGACCTGAGAGGACCCTCAGAGCAAGCACAAGGCCATGTCTACACAAGGCAAACATGTTCCAGCCACTCTGTAATATTTGGGCCAAAATGTGAGTTGTTTTAGATCCTTGTATCACTTGTCTGCGGAGTAAGCAATAAGGGATCAAGGCGACATTTTAGGCCAAATATTCAGTTAGTTGAAGAAACCTCCACTCGAGATGCCATTTGGGGGTATCAATAGCAATAGGGTCATAAGCTTCTGGAGTATAGACTTGGGAACCCCTGGAATGAGTATATTTGCAAATGTAAGTGATCTGCAGTCCATAGTGGTGTGTTCCAACTTCACCAGGCCTCCCCACTGCTACCCACCATGGGCTCATCAAATAAGCTGTCTCTGCCAATGGCAAGGGAGTGTTCAAATCCTTCCAGGCAGTATGAACATGTTCCTTTCTAAAGGTCTTTGGAAGTAAAGCAAGAAACCCCAAACACACTACCACTGCGTTGTTTCCAAATCCCAGCGACCCTGCAGGACAGGGTAGAATGTGCCCCTGTGGGTTTCCGAGACTGTAACTCTTTACAGGAGTAGAAAGCCTCCTCTTTCTCCCATGAAGTGGCAGGTGGTTTTGAGCTGCGGACCATACATAGTGTTAGCAGTTCAACTCATAATCCACTATACCATTAGGACTCCCTTCTTTGGAAGTAAGGGGGTCCCACAGTTTCTATTTTCAGCCCCGGCTCAAGCCCAATGATAGAAACAAAAATCCCTTTCATAAACCACCTAAGTTTCCCTTCTGGCCTCCCTTTCTTTCCTTTTTTTTCTTCTTCAATATTTTAGACATTCTGTGAGGCCCTCTCACCTCTTCTGAAGTGACCTCCCATCTTCTGAGAAGGGAGAGTTTCTGTAAATGGCACAGTTGAGCACAGGACAAGCAATGTGACTCACACTGAAGTGAACTTTTAAAGTTTAATCAGAATCGTGTTCACAGTGCAAAATGGGGTCACCTTTGGGAATTCTTATCCAAGTGAAGGCACAGACCAAGGGTGCCCCTGCTATTAGTAAAGAACATCCTTAATTTTGTGTGTGGGGGACCAAATATTGAGGGGCAGTTGGCCTCGTTAGGCTCTCCAGGGTCTGACTGCAGTGCGACTGTGGGGAGCTCACAAACCCTTCTCTCTCTCCTAAGGCACAATGATCTCTGCTTTGGAACACCACAACAGCATCCCCTTTCCTCCCACACTCTTCAGGATCGTGCGCCTGGCTCGGATAGGCCGGATCCTGAGACTCGTCCGAGCCGCACGAGGAATTAGAACTCTGCTTTTCGCCCTGATGATGTCCCTGCCTTCCCTATTCAACATTGGTCTTTTGCTCTTTCTGGTCATGTTTATCTATGCCATTTTTGGCATAAGCAATTTTTCCAGGGTGCGGCCCGAGTCTGGAATTGATGACATCTTCAACTTCCGAACCTTTGTCAGCAGCATGCTCTGTCTCTTCCAGATCACCACCTCGGCAGGCTGGGACACCCTCCTCGGCCCCATGTTGGTAACAAACAGCTCGTGTGACCCCTCTGTGGATGACTGCTACCTCTCTGTCAAAGCCATAACCTACTTTGTCAGTTACATCATCATCTCCTTCCTCATTGTGGTCAACATGTACATCGCCGTGATTTTAGAGAACTTCAATATCGCCACCGAGGAAAGCGAGGACCCGCTGAGCGAAGACGACTTCGAGATATTCTACGAAGTCTGGGAAAAGTTTGATCCCAAAGCAACACAGTTCATCAAATATTCTGCCCTTTCTGACTTTGCGGATGCCCTGCCTGAGCCTTTACGTGTACCGAAGCCAAACAGATTTCAATTTCTAGTCATGGACTTGCCCATGGTGAGTGGGAATCGCCTGCACTGTATGGATATTCTCTTCGCGTTCACCACGAGAGTGCTTGGTGAATCCGACGGCCTGGATGCCATGAAGGCAATGATGGAGGAGAAGTTCATGGAAGCCAACCCTTTCAGGAAGCTGTATGAGCCCATCATCACCACCACCAAGAGGAAAGAAGAGGAAAGGTGTGCTGCTGTGATCCAAAAGGCCTTTCGGAAGTACCTGGGGAAGATGCCCAAGGGTGACTTGGAAGAGGGCCCGCCTCACTCATCACTCCAGACATTCTGCAATGGAGACTTGTCCAGCGCGGGGGTGACTGTAGGCAAGGTCCACTGTGACTGAGCCCCTTGCCTCCACCCCTACCGCACAGCCCCCCAGCCTTCACTCCAGCCTCTACATCGCGGCGTATCAACCATCTGTGGATTCACTGAAATAGCCATTCCACTTTCCCCAGTTAAAGTCAATAAGTGATACTTGAATGTTTATTTCAAATGAGACTTACCAGAGGTATGCGATCGGGCTGTCCAGCTGTTAACCATGGGGACTTACTGTAATAAAGAAGACACTGCAAGGGCTGTCGAGAATACAGGTGTGCTAGGATTGTAACACTTTTCAAATTATGTCAAAAAGAACAAAAGGAGAAAAAAACACACGGAGAGTTTTAAATTGTATTTTTCCCATATGTTTCTAGGGATCTTACCCAGTCCCCGTGCGTGATATTTTCAGCTATATAAAGATGTGGCCTATCACCTATGGGTCTTTTGCATGTTAAATAAAAATTCAAACGCTGCTAATAAACAAATAGCTTACTGCAGAGTTTTTTTTAGCAACATTACGTATTTTGGGTTGCTTTCATACCTAAGGGCATGATCTTGACGTATAAAAGATGCTACCCTATCTTTTACCACCTACAATCTGTGTTATAAATATTTGGGAGGGAAATGCAACTTCCTGTGTGTTAGTCCGGGTACTTTAAAGAAATACATCCACAGAAACTTATGTATAAGAGAGAGTTTTATATAAAAGTATGCATCAAGAAAACATCCCAACCCAGTGCTGCCGAAGCCCACAAGTCCAACATTAACCCATATGTCCAACACCAGTCCACAGTCCTCCCCTCTGTGGGTTAGGGTAGGAGGAGGAGCCTTGGTAGCTAGTAGTTCAAAATGAACTGCCACCCCCTGGGGAAGTACAGTCTCAGAAACCCACAGGGGCAGTTCTACCCTGTCCTATAGGGTCACCATGAGTGAGGAGGTGAGAGGGAGGTGCTCAGTCAAGGTGTTTACTGATTTCCATGGTGAAAATACTTTCCTCCTGGCTGATGTCAAGCTACCAACACGATGTCGCTGAACAGAGAGCTGGGGGAAAGATGCTTACAATGGGCTCTCCCAGGCTGGCCAGAGCCAACCGAAAAGTCTTACTTGAGCCTCACTTGACCCTGCTTAGAATGTCTGCTTGGGTGAGGACACCTGGGCCACAGGTGAGGCAGGTAAAAGACATAATTGGCTAGTGGGGGATCCTGGCCGTTGGATGTGAGCCCTTGACTCTGTTCTGGTTATATAGCTCTCAAAGCCTAGAGAACCACTCAGTCTTATCCAAAGGGCCCGGCCCCAGCAGTTGTCCTGACCTTCCTGAAAACTAGAGGTGTACAGGGGCCAAAGAGGGCAGTTGTGGTCCAGGGGTAGAATCCATGCCTTCCATGCTGGAGAGCCAGGTTTGGTTCCCGATGAAGACATTTCAAAGGCAGCTGTCACTTGTCTTTAAGGGGAGGTTTGCCTGTGGCTGTGACACTGAAGGGATTTCAGTGGAGCTTCCAGACTAATGCAGACTAGGAAGAAGGGGCAGGTGATCTACTTCTGAAATCTAGGCAGAAAATCCAGTGGACCACCCCCTATCTGATCCTCTTGTATGCGGATGCAGTCTCCAGGGCTTGATGGGAGCAACTGAAAACAACACAGGTCAAACAAAGCTTTAGCCTGCCGGAAACGAGACCAGGACCAAGCCACTAGGTGTCGTGATGCAGGTGGACGATGGAGAAGGATGGAGGCTTTCTTCCCCGCTCTATTAGTTCCCCAGGGCTGCGACACACACAAACTACGACAGGTACACAAAAGGGAGACCGGGGGTCGGAGTGGTTCCACGCTCTGCTCTTCACCACAGGCCAGAAGTCCCAAAGCACCACCCGCTTCTTGGGAGAAAGGTGGGGGCTCTGTAAGCCCCTAGCGAGTTACCATCTCAGAAACCCACCGGGGCAGTTCTACCCTGTTCTATGGGATCACCCCGAATCAGCTTCAACTTGAGAGCGGCGAGTTTGGGGTTACAGTTGGGGGTGGTACAACAAGAATCAGGGGTGGTCGGGCTGTTGGTGGCCGAGGTGAGGTTGACCCATCGGTACCTTATTGTTGACAGAGCTGAGTGGCAATCTTTGGGTTTAGTTGAGTGGCTCTCTTTGGGCTTGTTAGGCTATGGGGAGGAGTACTGGTGGCACAGTGCTTAAGCGCTCGGCTGCTGACTGAGATGCCTGGGGCTCAGCTGCTTGCTGTAAGAAGGCCTGGCCATCTGCCCTCGTGACCATGACCACCTGCACACCGGCCCGGGCAGTGGTGCTCTGTGACATGGAGTTGCTATGGTGATGCCACACCTCTAGCACGGCCACAACCATCTTCCCCAGAGCATCGGGCACCTTGGAAGCGCCGACCTTTGGTTAGCCTCCGAGTGCCTTAGCATTTGGCTCCCAGGGCTTCTTCCCACAGTGCTTGGCAAGGCCAGGCTCCCTCCAGAGACTCTGTGGGAGGACGCTTCCATGCCTTTTCCAGGTGCAGCGGGCCTTCTAGTGATCCTGGGCTTGTGGCAATTGAACTTGAAGCTCTGCCTTCATCTTCACTCTGTCTCTCCTCCTCCTCAGGTGAAGGTTCTGGTTATATAGGATCTGGGCCCATTCTAATCCACTTTGACCTTATCCTAACTTGATGACATCAGCAAAGACCTTATTTCTAAGCAAGGTCCTATTTCACAGATACAGGGGATTTGAACCTCCACATCTTTTTATTGGGAGTCGCCAGAAAGACTCCAGGAATCTGGTACCTGAGACAAGATCGGAAGTGCCGGTGCAAGGTAGAGGGCAGGGCAGTCCAAAGCCTGTGACAGGCTGAAGCGATTGGTCACACATGTCCAAGTGCTAATCATGGTCTGATGTATGCCTGAGCAGGGCCTGAGCTTTGTGAGTCTTGCAGACAACCTGGCTCTCAGAGACACAACAGAGACACAACAAACAATAGCTCATATTTATTTAGTGGGTGCTGGTGGTCTGGCAAAGAAGACCTGATGGTCCTATTAGGTAAGCATTGGGCTGCTAACTACAAGGTTTGAGGTTCGATCTGACCAGTCACTACTTGGGAAAAAGATGAGGCTCTCTGGTTCTGTAAAGATTTAGAGCCTCTGAAATCCTATAGAGCAGTGGTTCTCAACCTGTGGGTTGTGACCCTTTCACAGGGGTCACCTGATTCATAACAGTAGCAAAATTACAGTGATGAAGTAGCAATGAAATAATTTTATGGTTGGGGGGTCACCACAACATGAGGAACTATATGAAAGGGTCATAGCATTAGGAAGGTTGAGAACCACTGCTATAGAGGATCGCTATGAATCTGAATCAACTCAATGGCTGTGAGTAACATGCAACATCATTTTTAAAATTATAATTATTGATTAATGTCTGTCCCCACTATTATCCTGGACCATGAACGCCATGAGGACAGGATCCTGTGCACTGATATATCCCAAGTGGCCAGCACAATGCCTAGACCTATCAGGTGCTAAATAAATATTCATTGACAAGTCAAAGAAATGAGAAAAGCAGAGAGTGTTTTTGGCGTGGGTGAAGATATTTTGAACAATTTACATATGAAAAGGCGTTCTTTCCAGTCATGAGCTAGTGTTGAAAGTTACTGGGACTTACCTGAAACCACTGAAATCGCTTTCAAAGCTCTGAACACCCGGAAGGTCCGCAAGGAGGGCAAGCCGATGTTGGTTTTCAGGCAATAGGACACAAACCTGCAAGACAGAGCACAGGGACCGCTGAGGCCAGCCCAGTCCCGCAGCTGCCTCACACAGCTCACAGAGGCCACCGGGAGATCCTGGAGCCTGTGACCATCAAGGCAACATCCCACCTCACCTTCCCCGGCTCACCTGAGCCTCAGGACCTGGCAATGTCCTCATGGTGCTATGATCACATAGGAGCCTGCTCTTGGCTCATCCTTAGACTTGGACATAGAGGAGGAGTCCGTGAAACACTCCAGACTGTGTGCTACATCCATGGACCACAGGCATCAACCCAAACATCACTGACTCGTGACCATGCTCCCAGCATCAATGTGCCTCTCTCTCTGTGGTCACTAGGCAGCTCAGCCCACAAGTGATCTCAGTCCAGAGCCTGCTCTCTTGCCATCTCAGCAAGAGCACCCAGCCACAGAACCTCAGGTGCAAAACTCAGAAATTAACAGCACCTACCTCAGAGAGCTTTTGTGAATACTAAACAGGAAAATACATATGCAAAGAGTTTAAGACAATGTCTGCCACACATCTCGTCATGGTAGGTTTATTTTTCTATCACAGGTAGCTGGACTATGAAGCATGCTCACCCTTCTTTCCAGAACTCTCTTCTTCCCTTTTCTCTTGCTGACTGTCTCATCATTCAGATGCCAAATGGGTGCCCCTTCTTCAGGGAAAGCTTCACTCCTGACCTCACACCATATCCAATCATTGAACCCAAACAGACCGTGAATTTGAACAGAAGGGACAAAAGTAGAAAACTTCTAGAAGAAAACGTGAGAGAAACTCTTTGCAGCCTTGCAGTAACCAAAGACTTTTAAGACTCTTTGACTCATCTTACTTATTCTGACAGCTGAATCTGTACCAATCTCCTATCTTAGCTCTCACCACGTGCTGCATTTGTTAGGTGGATTTAGGTAGATTTCTACTACAGCAACCCCATGTGACAGGGTAGAACTGCCCCATAGGGTTTTCTAGCTTAATTTTTACAAAAGTAGATTTACAGGCCTTTCTCCTAGATATGGAGCTACTGGGTGGATTCAAACCAACAACCTTTTGATTTGCAGCCAACCACTTATCTCTTGTGCCACTAGGTGGCTGTGAGTCAGGATCAACTCAACAACATGTTTATGTCATATCACTGTCATTGAGTCAAAGTCAACTCATGGTGACCCTCCTTATAGGACAGGGTAGAAATGCCCCTGTGGATTTCTGAGACTGCAACTATTTACAGGAGTAGAAAGCTTTGTCTTTCTTCCATAAAGAAGCTGGTGGTTTTGAACTGCTGGCCTTGCAGTTGTAGCCCAATGTATAACCACTATGCCATACAGTAAACC